TACAACCCGCCGGCATATAACTGGAATATTGCTCAGTGCGGTGTTAAACAACAACCAATCCACGACTAATATGTATACTTCAAGTGCCACTGATTTGCTCAACTTCCATCAGAACATGAGTCTATGTGTGTCAGGGCTTTATTATGTTTTGCCTACGTCGCTAGGGTTCAATGCTAAACTATACGTCTTAGAATGACGCAAACATCATAGATTTCCTCCGCACAGACGTTATAATTCAACGTACTTGAAATTACCAGGTACTCCATTCCATTTCTCACAATAGATTCCTTATTGAGTCAATTTGAACTAATCAATCCTTCCTCGCAGCTTGTTTCCCGTGCAACAACCTGAACATGGTAAGTGAGTTAGAGACGTCGATAATAAGTCAACTGTATAGTCAACCCATCTTTGACAGGAAACAGGGTCGACCAAAATAGAACTGCCGGAGGTACACTTTCCTATCGTAAAGGAAACACCAAACAGTACGAGTCGTGTATGAATCAAATTAACCGAATGGTATTGTCTGCTTTAACCAACAGATACCATAGCTAATCATAGAGAGGGAGCTATGAAATACACAATGCCATTTAGAAAGTGTTCAAATGTAACATATGCTATATTTGGGATTACACTTTCTTTCAACCCAACAAAAGTACTAGAATGTGTATTTTACTAAGAAAGTGTAATCCCAAATATAGCATATGTTACATTTGACCACTTTCTAAATGGCGTTGTGTATTTCATAGCTTTCGGCAATGGGAGCCGTGCCAATTAACACTTATCAGAGGGGTACACAAAGTCCGCAGTCTAGACTACCAGTTGTCCGACTTCCATTTTTGTGGAAGCCGCGGTGGCTGAGCGGTCTAGGCGTCTAACTTTGTGTGCTGGCGATTAGGTGCCTGACCCTGAGGGTGTGGGTTCGAATCCCGGATGGGACTCAACCCAACAAAAGTACTAGAATCTGTAATTTACTAAGAAAGTGTAATCCCAAATATAGCATATGTCACGAGAGGGAGTTAGTTGGGCTTTACGCCCTCAGCGGATCCTGTGAGCAGCTAAGCGGGACAACTGCTCCCACGATTACGAAATCAGTAGAAGGCTGTCTAAGAGAGCGTCCATTTCAGAATCGGAAGTGGGGGTTGGGATGTCTTTGCAGACTTGGATACTTTTACAAGTGCATCGTCAAACCAAACGTCTTAAGCTTTAACTATGGGCCGAAATACATCTTCAAACAACAATTCTGTGTATGTGTGCGTGTGTGTGTGCGTGTGCGTGCGCATGCGTGGGTAGGAGTTGGGGAGGAACCAGCTAACTCGAAAATGTGATTTGGCATGTATGTCCACAATATTTTTAAAACATGATGACAATATTTCATTAAATATGTTCTTACATAACATTTCTGCAGCGTTTTTGAAACATTTCAATAATATGTTGTTAAATAGTTTCATCCATGTTGTAGCATGAGTTTTGAATAACATTTTAACATTATAACATCAGAAATCGTTGCGAAACATGTTTATAACGTTACGGAAACGTTTTGACGAAAATATTTTTGAAAAAGTATTTTGAAACCTTATGAATACGTTTCGAAAATGTTATGTGTTACCTGGGGAGGTATTGTGACCTGCATGTCCGAATGCAGATATCTGCATGCCCGAATATACTGACCTGCATGCCTGTGTAATTGTCCCCCGCCGCAGCGCGGAACGGGGGACTATGTCCGTACGCACGTCCGTACGTACGTACGTCCCGATTCTTGTTAACGCGATATCTCATGAACTGTTGTACCCACTGTCTCCAAATTTGGTGTCAGCCTACATTGGGGGATTACGCAGACACCAGTCGATTTGGGTGACCTTGACCTCATCTTCAAGGTCACCACGACACTTTGCACACTTTTAACTCTTGTTAACGCGATATCTCATGAAATGTTGTACCCAATGTCTTCAAATTTGGTGACCTTATCTTCAAGGTCACCACGATACTTTGACCGCTTTTTAAAGCGGATATCTAATAAAACATTGCACCCAACGTTTCAAGTATTTTTGACAGCCTACATTGGGTGATTATGCGGACACCAGTCATTTCAGGCATCTTGTATGTGACCCAAAAATAAAAAGTAGTAAATATAGATATTCCATTCTGTAGCGGCGGGGGACATTGCCATATCAGTGGCAAACACTTGTGTTATTTACATTCCCGACTATAACCACAAGCATGTCCTTATAATGTGATTTGCTTGCCCTTATAATGTGATTTACATGCCCTTATAATTGGATTTACTTGCCCTTATAATTGGATTTGCATGCCCTTATAATTGGATTTACTTGCCATTATAATTGGATTGCATGCCCTTATAATTTGATCTTCATGCCCTTATAATTTGATTTACATGCCCTGATAATTTGATCTACATGCCCTCATAATTTGATTTGCATGCCCTTATAATTTGATCTACATGCCCTTACAATTAGATTTGCATGCCCTTATAATTTGACTT